GTGACTTGTTTCGAGCCATAGTACACGAAGCAACCACATCTCCTCGTGAAATTGGAGAAAAAGGAATGACACCCACCATCTTTGGCCAAGCGGTACCCAAAGATCGATTTTTTGTCCTCGTAAAGAAACACCGAAAGCACGGGGTGTTCGTACCTGTGACATCACGAGAGTTGCAGGGGCTAGAAGGCCTTGGTGAGGCAGAACGATATGCTTACATCGGTTTTCGAAAGGAAGGGGAGGTCTTTGACCGCAATAAGCTTACTGAAAAAGACCCCCAGTACCTAGCTAAGTGGGATCCGCTTATGCTTGCCGAAGGGGACTTAGATCCCTTCTCGTTTGCGAACCTCTCTTACCCAACGTCATTGTATTGGTCCAGCAACCTCCTGCGTGCAGGCTGCCTGACGAACCTCAGTACCCAGCGGGTGCTTGAGCTGTTCGAAGAGATCGACCAGGTCACTCCAGAACAAGATCTTTCATCTGGAATGGAAGAGCTGAAGGATGAAGAAAATGCGTTCTTATTCCAGCTTCATGAGTCCACTGCTAGCGGCGAAGAGGATCCAGACCGGCCAAAAGGTACTGCAAATGAGCAAATCGCCGCCTACAGCGCACGACATCGTGACGTCGAATCTGTTTTAAAACCTCTGAAAGAAGTCGAAGATAAGATATTCCAGGCCGTGGACGATAGCACCATCAACGCCGCCAAGGCAGAGAACAACGTGCGAAGAAAACGGTTCGATTACCACAACGCGCTTCAAGCTGGTGACATCGGTACACTTGCACTAGAGTTGTACCAAAAGGAGATCGAAGAAGCCAAGATTGATCGTGACGAGAAGCAGAAGATCAAGGATGATATGGTGGCATTAGCTGAGGAGATGGAGCGGAAGCCCGAACTGAGGCCTCGTATCCCGGCTGGCGCGGAAATCACGGAGGGGCAAATGACTATCATTAATGACGCTATGCGATCGCTTCAGGACCGTATGGATAGCATTTCCAAGCAGATGTAAGTTGACTGGGTCGACCTACACGTATAGATAGACATTGCAACATGTCTTTACAGCGCGTCTTTACAGCGCATGATGTGATATATTTCAAAATTTGTCATTAACTCACCCCCTCACCGCATCTACGCCGTAAACTGAACATCACTCTAAGCTATGCATCATGGGCCAAGAAATGTATGATGTGATCTTGAAATGAACATGATATGGTATTGGGTATTATCGCACCAAACAACTAACTCCAAAGCGCCTCGCTTCTATGCTATCGCAAGTCCTCATACACGCGTCAAGTTCGCTCCCTCAAAAGCATCGTACCAGCCCTTCATTTCCCACCGCCTCGTCAACAGCCATTGCTTCGTCTTGGCATTCTCATAAATGTACGGTTGTTTCCACCACTTTTCGTGGACGCTGACCAGGCCCTTGGCGATATCCACGTCGTTCGGACAACGGATGTTCCAAGTGTATGCGATCTCCCGCCACGGCATCGGCCCGTCCCAACGATGTGCGAAGTTCATGAGGTTTTGTTCGGGGTATCGGGGATCGAAGGAGTTGGGTGTGTTGAGGAGCTCTTTGTAGTAGTTGAACGCGTCGAGCGAGGGTGCGAGGATGAAGAAGCCTGCGTTCATCTTGCCGGCCTTCTTCAGGCCGGTGCCGTGACCGGGTGGGAAGGAATGGGTCGAGTCCCATACTTCGGAGTTGGATGCGAGGAGGTAGGTGGAGGGTAGGTTCGTTTCGTTCGTGGGCTTGGTGGCAAGGAGCTGGGCGCCTGGGTCGTCGAAAACGCCGTCGAGGTTCTTGAGCAGCATCGAGTCGCCGTCCATCACCAGGATGCGGTCGTACTGTGTCATTTCCCAGACGCGTAGCTTCGTCATAACGTCGTCCCATCGGTGCAGCTCGGCGTGGACCCAGCTGTCGTTCTCGGTGTGCAGGAATTCGACGGCGTGGACGATGGCACCGTCCTTCGCTAGGCGGTCGCGCCGGGCCTGAGAGACGCTGGGTGTGACCATGACGACGACATCGTGCTTCGTGCGAGTCTCCTCTTTGTGTACGAGCTGCCAGACGAGAATACGGATAGCTTGGAAGTACTTGTCCTCCTCGAGATCATCGCCCGCATCAACGGTTCCGGAGAGAAATGTGACGTATGCTAGTCTCTCCTCTCTGTCGAGAGTGATGTTGGCGTTAACATAGGGCGGTGGTTGCGGTATCGGCTCCTTCTTTTCTTCTGATTTGGCGGCACTGTCGCTTTTGTGACTTTTGAACTCCGGAATAGAAATGTGATCGAACGCGCGCGTTTCCACGGCGAGAAAGACAAATGTCGACACGATCACAAACGTCCCCAGCGCAATCCGGATCCATCGAGGGCTGGCAAAGATATTCCAAGAGCCGGAAGGCTTCATCCAGTTGGGCTTCGACCCAGACATGGACGCCATGGTGCTGGAGCAAAAGAACGACTGAATTCCAGCTTACCGGCAGGCAGCGACGCCCGCCGTATTTCAACCTCATCCCTTTCCACGCCGGTCCCGTAAGCCCAGCCGCATCCGGTTGGACAGCATATTATGCGAGGGGGCAAACCCGTCGAAAGGTAGGCAGCCTACCATGAGTCGCGGACACCCCGGCATATCTTGCGCTGTCCAGACCCTTGCGAACGCTGACAGACTTGACAAGCAAAGCTTGGCGAGAATGCGATAGTTTGATTAGCTGCTGAGCATGCAGCGGAGATGATCGCCCCCGCCCCCTTGTCGGCGCAGTAATACCAGCTCAGCCCTGTACGTCTGGGGACTTGCCCGTCGAGTATCGTGAACATAACGGGCCGAACGCTGACCTAACCAAGACTGCACAAGCAGAATAGACTCGGTGCAATGCGCAAATGTTTCCTCCTTGGATGCGCCCTTGGAGGCCTTGAATAACCGTCCGAAAATGAAGAAATTGATGCGAGGCTCGTATCGCGTTTGATCTTTCGCTCGTTTGCCCAGAATAGCCGGGCTAGCACCACTCGCGCCACGCCTACTTAGGTACAATCCGCTATTTCGGGGCGCCTAACGACGCCAAATTAAAAACGCAAAGCTTACGGTCTGGAAACTTACAGAAAGACATGCTGTCGCAGTAACAGAAAACTTCTCATGCGCAGTCCGATCGTTCTTCGGAATGTTTCGATCAAACCTTGGAACTATCCGGCACCGACGGAACCATAGTACAGGTACACGAGCAGACTAATCTGGTAGAAGCACAGGCATGTGCATGCCTAGAAGGAGCAAGGTCTAATAAGATTATACGCATTTCTTTCCTGAAAAGTCTGACGGGATCGTCGGTGTACTGTAGGGCCGTTGCAGCCAGAGTACCCAAGACTGTGATTTCGGCCAGATTTCGCCTGTGTCGCGCCGTGCTGCGGTATTGAACCTTGTCAATCTTCTAATCCGCTGGTAAGATTGCTGAATAATCGGTGGAGTACCGTTGGGGGTTCTAGTGTAGGGATATACTAGGCGCACCATGACGGCAGCGCACCTCGTCAACGCCATATCACGGCGGGTGTATGGTTGTACAGATATCTGGGTATCGTTTCATCTCCTGCCATGCCTCACAAGAACGGTGTATGATCTCGCCTTGGCCGCTGATGGACGGCGCAGCCACGTCGGTTACGCAAGCTACACGTTGTAGAGGTACGCCTGACCGGCGTTTACGCGGTATGCAGAAGCTTTCCAAGCCTTTGGGAAGAGTGCGTTTATGATGCACACGTCGAACAATCCCTCAATCTGAACGGTTTCCGCATAACGCTACTTCCTGATGGTCTTGAGCTCTTCAGTCGAGGTCATTCGAGGGCTATCGCGGGTACCTGTACCGGGTTTCTCGTAACGGGGTAAGACTTTGCATAGGATGCAACGCGGCAGAAGCAAACATTGTACCTCAATGGAGCTCAATCGCCGTGTTCGTCGCATCTAGATGGAGGGGCGGAATTCCCTGGTGTTCTTGGACGCCCCAAAGTCAAACATCAAACGTGTTCTTCCCCTATTGTGAGCCCGTCCGTTAAGACGTGGTGATAGCCCCATCGCTCATCACAGCGGTATCAGATCGTTCGCCTTCCACTTACATTTGACTGCAGCCAATGAGACGCAGATGCATGCGTGTGACGTGGTATATCGCCGGGTCCGCGGAGCTGTGTGATGTAGTCAATACAAAGCTGCAGGCCTAGGAAGATAAGGAGGCGAAGCAACCCCAAATCCTTCCGGGCGAAGTACAGGATGCAGACTAGGTACTCAAACACAGCACGTGTTTCAGCTTGATCGCAACATGCAACCCAACTCGTCAGCCTGGCGGCGAGCGCGATTTTACGGTCATTCGTGGAATCGTGTGAGATCAGTGGAGGCTGTGTACCTGTCGTCGTCGGCCTCAGCAAAACGCGCCCTGAGTGATGCCCACGGCCAGTCGCTCCGCCATGAGTTTCGCAATTGCAGCTGCATCATTGAAATGCTGGAAAACATCCAGGCCAACGGTTTGCGTCGACGTCGCACCTTCCCCTCGAGTCTGCCTCGGCAGTTATGAGTCTCGCGTATCGACAGACGCAAGCACGACCAACAGAATGCTTGTTCATCCCTCGCCCCACGATGTTACGTGCGAGGAGGCCAAATGCAGTCCTACCAACTTGCCAGAAGAGAAAGAGCCTACAATTACTTCGGAGGTCTTCGAGCCACTTAAACCTGAAGAGATGAAGTGGATAGATGGCGACATGGGGCTATCGCTTTCCGATAATCCACATCCTGCACCTCGTTCAATCTAGAACCCAGCATCATGAAAGATGGTCACTCACAATCTATTCAAGTATCAAGCAAAACCGCTAGACGCCAGTCGACAAAATATTCGGTTACTACATCTCCACCCAAAGATTCGAACAAACGAGCGATGTTCGACGATCTCAACGAGTAATGTAAAACTCTCTACGACACATTGAACACCTGACTACCAGAGACTTGTGTCCAACCCACTTGCTGACCGATTTTAGAATTATAATTATTGAACGTCGCGTTCCTGTGATCCTGTCGAGGATGTCAGCGTTGGCCCAGTGTCCGCCGGAACACAAAGCTACTAACCTCTGCCTGCAAGGCTTCGACGATGGCTTTTTCGAGTTCCTTATCCTGAAATGCTGCGATGTCCTTTAGGGCAAGAAGAGCATCCCTGGATTTGATCTCAGACACCTCCATTTTGCAGAGCCTACGCTGCTCTTCGAGCGCTACAGGATACAGTTTGACGAGATCGTTGACAAGCTCTGCGATATCTTTGATCAACTCCTTCAATTGTCTCTCTTCATACAACGTCCATTGTACTCTCTGTCGTATAGGTGTTGTGTTTTGGCGCTTCGAAGATAAGGTTCGCATCTTCGCATGCAGCGACTGGCCCACAGCCTCCATGTCTGTGGCTGGGTCCAGAACTTCATCATTCCAATCAGCTCCTCCTGTATGACTTTTATATTTGTTGGATATATCCTCCGCGTCCGCGAAGAGGCCCACTACCTGTGTCAGCACTCTGGTCGCTGTTGCCACTTCATTTGGCGGTCCTGTCGCTAGCCTCACGCTGTGGGCATTGCTGAAATCGCCACTCAATCCAACAGACTCGCCCCAACGCGAAACTCGCAATCTCTCATTCTCTAGCCTTAGCAGACTGGTTTGAAAATTGGTCCCAAAAGCGCGACCAAGCCGGACGTATTCGAAGCAATCGACAGCGTTGTTGAAAGTGGTAGCAAGGGCAACGATGCCGATGGCAAGACCAGCTCCTTCCATGCTTGAAGGCTGTAAAAAGATGCTAGCAATGAGACAAGAAATGCTATCTGGGAGCGGAGGGTTTGATGCATCATATAAACGTGGAGAGACTCGGGTTTCGTCGATGCTCACGGGCGTGGCTGAACCGCTGCATGCTCAGGTGACCTCGGGAGTCTGCCTCGCAAGAGCGCACAACATGTCTCTAGCCGTAATTACCTCCCTGCATTTGGTGGCACTGCCAGGCTCCATCTCTTACTTTCTGCCTTCGTTTTTCCATGCTGCTCAATCCCCATGGATATGCGCTCGACTGCACAGCCTGTCAGCTTCAACAACGAGGCTGCGAATATCGCCATTCAAGCAGGGGTGTACAACAACCATGGGAATACCAATGTGAAGTATGCGACACTATCTTGTATCAACAGCATCATCTGCGGTAGCTGACGGAACTGTAGTCTGAATCAAGACGACCCGATCAGAAGATTACCACAGGCTACTGAGGCGCCTTTCAATGCGTATACCAAGCAACACGAACCTACTTGTCTTCCCCATACACGAGAGGACATCCTGGACCAGATATATCGTTGGACCGACGGGCAAGATGAGCCATGTGTGTACTGGTTAAACGGCCTAGCAGGAACTGGAAAGTCGACAATCGCGCGTACCGTTGCTCGAAGGCACCACGATCTAGGAAATTTAGGGGCCAGTTTCTTTTTCGCCAAAGGTGGTGGCGACGTCGGGCATGCAGGCAAGTTCGTGACGACCATCGCTGCTCAGCTTGCAGGCCGTGTACCCGCAACACGCGAACACATCCGTGAGGTGGTCGAAAGATTCAACGATATATCAAATCTCTCATTGCGCGACCAGTGGCAACAGCTTGTCCTCCGGCCATTATCTGGACTGAGAAATTCAGATGGTAGCACTTCTCTTGTCTTCGTCATCGATGCGCTAGACGAGTGCGATGATGACAGTACCATTCAAACTGTCATCGAGCTGTTGGCCGAAGCACAGGTACTGAGCGAACCAAAACTTCACATCTTCGTGACAAGTAGGCCCGAAGCAGCAATTCGAAATCGTTTTCGCCGTATGCCAGACACATTGCATCGAAGCTTCGTGCTGCACAACATACCAGCTAGAATCGTCAACGCTGACATAAAGCTCTTTCTGGAACGGGGTCTAGCGACTATTGGTCAACAACAAGACCTACCTGATGGCTGGCACGGTCCCGCAATCGTCACGAAAATGGTGAACAGAGCCAGTGGTCTTTTCATCTGGGCGGCAACAGCGTATCGATTCATCGACAGCGGACGAAGATTTGCAGCGCAAAGATTGAATTCGATCATAGAACAGGATGGCGATACTCCAGTCGAACCCGAGAAACATCTCGACAGCATCTACCTTACCGTCCTGCAGAGTTCGATCTCTCCAAACTATACAGCTGAAGAGACAGAGGATCATTGCAAGATGGTGCGGCTTACTCTTGGAACACTGGCCGTGCTACAAGCACCTCTTACTACGCGAGCGTTAGGTGAACTACTGGATGTTGCGAAAGAAGGCATTGGGTCGATTTTCCAGGATTTGCATGCTATTCTCGACCTACCACAAGATGTAAACCAGCCACTACGCCTTCACCATCCTTCGATGCGTGATTTTGTATTCAACAACAATCGATGCAAAGATCTCAATTTTTGGGTGGACGAAGCACAAGCAAATGCTTTCTTAGCAACGCATTGTATCAGGGTAATGACACGCTCTTTCGAGCAAGGTGATGGAATCTATGCAAGGCTCAGATCAACGATCCCCTTCGACCAGGCTTCGTGTTCAGTCACTATGGAGCTGAATTATGCATGTGTCTACTGGACTCGCCACCTCGAGCGAAGCAAAATCAGACCTGTCGATAATGGACCAGTACATGTCTTCCTGGAAAAGTATCTTCTCGACTGGTTACTTCAAAGCGCTCGGTGGGCCACAGAGGTACCGATGCAACAAGCCAATCTCCGTTGTCTAGAAAATTCTGTTTCTGTAAGTGTTACGACCCTGGTGCGAAGTGTTCATTTCTGAAAGCTTATAGGCAAACGATGCTCCCCGTCTTTACGCTCTTCTTCGTGGATCCGGCGAGAAGAAGTTTGATGTCTCGCTGTACAAAGTGCCAGAACCTGGATTCAGATTGATAGATTGTGTTAAAGTTGAGCGTTCATCTTCAAGGCCCCCGCTTGGCCCTCCTCTTACCATGAGACTTCGATCTTCAAGCATTCGAGCTCCAGCGACAGAGGGAACGTACTAGAACGACAGCGAACGCTCCCGATCTACATCGTTGTTTTTCAACCGCCTCTAAAACACCCGGCACCAGGGATAATCATACCCAGGTATTTCATGAGACATTTCGGGTCACCAATATCAACCGGTCGGCACCAGATTGTACGTGCCAAGAGTCTCACAAGATGAGATCACACTTAGAGCCAACCACCGCATCCATGAGATGAGCACTAGTCGCCATTCATTTCAGATTCTAACATTTTGATATCCAGACTAGCTGAGAAGATATATGCCCAACCACCGGTGGATGGCAGTAGGGTATCGTAGACCAAAGAAAAAGCAAATACTCAAACAAAACAAGACAAAGCTCGCAAAAAAGCGCAACACAGACCAGACAAACTGTCGCCCAAAGTGATAAAGATGTGCCTCCGACTCCCCTTCCACATTATGCATATGCCCACGATATCGTCGTTTATGATCATACCGCGCCGTTTCCATTCATTTTACACCTATCTCCTCGCATCACTCTCCCTCCGATTACTAGGCGCAATACTGCTCCCTCTCCTCATACGATCACTCGGCGCAATGCTACTCGCCGCAATACTAACAACATCGCTCATGGAATCCTGATCGCGCTGGTAACTATACTGCATGCCCGAGTCGGGGCCTTTGAAGCCGTTGTCCCAAGCCGAGATGCGCGAAAGAAGCCTACACACCCAAATTAAAACGATTCCTTTTTGCACAACAGCGAGATACGCAATGTGCGATGTGGATGTAGATGTTGGTGTGCCCTTACCGATCGTCTGGCGGACCGTAGTATTCTTCTGGGATGAGCTCGTAGTCGCCCTCGACGGGGAGGTAGAAGGCGGATACGGCGATGGCGACGGAGGTGAGGAAGAGGATGGTCCAGCTGGCGGTGCAGAGGGTCCACGAGAGGTCGAGGTGCCAGCCGGACCAGAAGCGCTCGTCGTGGTCGAAGAGGAAGGCCTGGGCGTGTGACTGTTAGCATGCTTTGCTTCTGCGATGGGCATGGGACCCTGCAGGAAGCAGGGAAAACGCGGGGGAAGACACGTACCACTATGGCCATGCCGGCGCACTGGACGATGGCACTGAAGGAAAGGACGCCAACGGCGACCTGCCAGCCTGCGGCCCGACGCTGGACTCCGCCGGAGATGATGACGATGAAGGAGACGATGGCGCAGAGCTCGACGACGACGCCGAACGAGGTCAGGAAACCGACTGTCCGCCACATGTTGCAGAAGGACGGGTCCTTTGTGCAGTCGCTCATCTTGGGGAAGGGAACACAGGTGCCCGTGACGGCGGAGCAGCGACTGTGGAGGCCGTACGAGTATTCGCGCTTGCCGTCGGGGCTGTAGCTGACCCATCGCGGCATCGAGATACTGGCGATGGTCATGATGGTGCCTGCGCAGTCAGTCTCATCTTCCTTTGTAGCGGCATTATCATCGTCTCTTACAGGCCAGTGTGAGGATGAGCCCCACGCCATACACAATTCTTCGCGTCATGGTGGATGTGTAATTACTGTCTCAGCGGGTGGTGAGAAGTTTCGCCTCGAGACTCTTGTCGAATCGAGACGGTGGCGCAGAGGGAGGAGTTGCGGGGTTTATGATACGGCGGGATGCGCGATTAGGTGTGAGGCGTGCAGTTGCAGCGTGCGTGCAGGACGGAGAGGCTCTAACTCTAGGCGGCGGTTGAGTACAAAGGGTGGGTTGGCAGGCGCGACGGAGCGAATAGATAAACAGTCGCCAGGTGACTGAGGGCAGGCGCAGGTGCGGGGAGGACGGATTCAGCCGGGGCTACACGGGGTCAGAGCGACACCATGATATGGGTGCGAGTTGGCTGATGGGTGGGTGTGAAAAACGCTGCTCTCCCGTCTGGAATCGCGCTAGGAGGGGGAGGATCGTGGTATGGCGAGGCGTGTGCTCCATGACGACAGGGGCGCTTGGACGCCTTTCCCCACGCGCCCCTAGCTTCACTTCACCGCTAGGACTTTTCTCTCGACACCACCTACTGATAGCGCATAGCGCGTTGTGGGTATAGCCAGTGTCACAGTGTTCACGTTCTTATTTCACGTATATACGTTATACGACATGTCCCCTTCACCAAGCGAGCGCGAAGGATTCATCGCTTGGGATGGCGCAAACACTGCATCGCATTTCGGAAAAGCGGTGTCAAATCCCATGTTGAGCTTTGCGCCATGCTCCGATCGCCGATCATGTCGTGATGGACATGGCATGATCCTAGGCTCTGCTACTTCCTTGAAACTTAAACTTTTGTCAAGTCTTGTGAACTTCCCAGTATCCTCCGACTCCGAATCTTTGCGTGTCACAGGTACGAGGCATTTTTGGATGGGATGATGGATTGGCAGTTGCATACACTGA